GGGCTCTGCAGAATTGCTCTTAGCTTACCATCAAACATGAGGTGCCTCCAGCTGCGCATGCTCCACACATTTTGTCTGTTGCAGCCAGAGCCAGACGTAGATCCTGTCCTGAAGAGCTCTTCTTCCAACAGCATCCAGCACGTGACACCTACAAACAGAAGTGAGACACACACTTCCATAGTCTCTCCCTAGAAGCACAATGCTGTTAGGTCTCAAAGGTGAATGGCAATGTGGCACAACAAAAGCATTCTGTAGCTGTCCTATAGGTGGCCTGGTATTTTTGTTACAAGATAATTGCTGTAATGAACTGAATTGACTTAGTCATCAGGAAGCAAACCTTGAAGGTCCCAGAGGAATTTTTTTCTGGGATAAAATTAAGGAGATTTTGCTGTTCCAAAGGTTGGATACTGTTTATTACAGTTACTGTGGTCTGACTTTGAGATGGCTTTGCAAAGGTTAGTAAGGGTAGTACTGTCCTTGAAGTAACCTTGTTTCACTTCAAGAGTAGATTTTACAAGCCAGTGATGGTTCCTAGACTTGCCTTCAAGGAGTGGGTAAGCCTCCCTGCATTGCTGTGTCTTGTGTAGCAGTAGCACTGCTGCAAAGCACAGATAAACCATTCTGTCTGGGGTAGATGAAGTGGCCTGGCTTTGGCAGTCTATAAGCAAAAACCTGTTTCCAGAATATTACCATGTGGTTAGTAAGTAATAAAATGTATGTTTTTCTAAAACACTACCTTTTTGTAGGGCAGGTGATAAGTATTCTGCTCAGAGAATTCTTGAGTAATTTTGTCATTCAAAAACTGGAGTCATCACCACGGCTGCATTAAAGCACAGATAGGAAATTGAGAGTTGTTTGCAATGGTATTTCATACTGTCCAGTGAATAAAGATGCATAATATCAAAGCAAATGCTATAGAATTTCAGATTACCTTCTTACTGTTGCTGTTTATTAAAATGCATAGATCTTTTAACTTAYTAGTTGCTTTTTTTTCTGTCAAAGATTAGAAGACCAATATATAGGATGCTAAAATTTAGTAGTTAAGCTTTAAAAGAGCCATGCTTTTGTAATGAAGTGGTAAAAAGTAAAAAACAACCAAAAGTGATGAATGCAATGAAGTTTTGAAATCTGATTGTACTTGTTTTTTGGTAGTGGAGCTGAATATTAGGTGTTTTTCTTGTTACCTACTCTACATTTTTATAGGCGTAGAGGTTGTCCCTGCTTGATAGAAATGAAATTAGTAAGGCAGGATTGCCCCTTTTAGGAAAATATGTGAGGGTTTTTTTGTGAACCGCTCAGTGAGTTCTTGATTTTGTTAAAGCAGTAAGGCATGAGAGCACYGAGATTTGATCTCCTTGGGACTGAGTTGGAGGTACAGCTTCTGAAGTGAATCCCAAGCCCTCTGTCAGCCTCTGCTATGTCAGGCCCATGCAGGAATCGGTCTTGCTTGGCTGCCTGCCCTTGAGATTGGAAAGGAGCAGTGCTTAGGTTTTCTCACTTTGCTGAAGGCCTTGTATGAGTGTTGTAACTTTTTTCATTTTCCTGTTTCTTGATATGTCTAATGGAAAAGCCTTGCTGAAGGAATATGAATATATCTTTTTAATGGCAGGAAAGGAAGGTTTTTCTTAYGAATTTAAAAGTACCAGTGTTAAATCAGATACAACCTCATATCAGGAAGGGAATTAGTTTTGAAAGTTAGTTGTGAGTTCAGTGACYATATGCAAAGAAAACGAGTTAGGACTGAATAATGGCACTACAAGTGCAAGGAGATTGTTTCTTGGTGATGAAGGGAGTTGACTATATTTAAAAACATAGCTGAAAATACATTTACAGGGTAATGATACATTGGTTCACCAAGTTCATACTAAAAATTGAGTTATATATTGTATAATCAGGCATTTTACTGTTTTATATTGCTTTTATACTATGTTCTTTTGATTGCTTACCAGTAAATTTATTAATGACAAAATCCTTTACTCCATCTTATAACTCAAATATGTTTTGCTTTGATATGTGAGSATAAACTTGTTTGCTGTAAAGATCTCTTTAAGCTTGTTTTTTGACTTAGCTATTTCCAGGGACTTCCCAGTTTACATGAATTTTTTGCACAGCTGTATRTCTTGGAATAATTATGAATGGTTTTAAGTGATGAAAAGAATGGATAAAAGTCACATGCACTTCATGATTCTAAATAGTCATACACCTGAGAGGAAAACTTRGAACTATTTATAGGTTCCAGGTAGCTGTCTTAACAGCTCTTCATTGAGTCATAATGGCTTAAAAGAAGACATTTCCCCATGTTTCCTCTCAAAGTTTTGATTTACTAAGTCAGTAGGCAAATATTTTGATTAGGAAGGAGGAGCACTAATGCTGATTGAACTTACTTCATCTTGCTGCTTTTTGAAAAAGCTTCTGAGGACTACTTTTAATTAGAGGTAGATACTGTAGGATCTTCTACATGTTTAACATAATCTCATTTTAATGACTTAATTATTTGCATAATATTTTTTTAGTTCCTTGTAAATTTTGGCTTCTTGTAAATGAACRTGCTATTGGTATTTATGTCTAACCACTGAAGATACTAAAAATGGGTTGAAATCTAGTCCAGCTTTTGTCTTTTTTGGCCAAATTTTTTGTTTGAAAGTTTGTAATAGCATTTCTGAATAGTGAAGAAATGRATTATTTGTCATTGTTGATAGCTGTCATTCACTTCAAAACCACTCCTGTTTAAGCTGTTCTGTAATTTTGTAGTTAGAAGTCAGCAGCTCTCCTGTGAGTAACCAGTCCTTCAGGCTCTSTRCTGGGTAGCAAAAATGAAGAGTTCCTGATTACTTGGTTGAATTTCCATGGYTGTAAAAGTAAAAAGATAGAAAATGTTTGAATCTCTGTCAACTGGCTAGTATATCTAGGCTGCCTGTTGGAATAAAACTAAGCCAGTAAATAATGTTCCAGATGCACTAGTTTTCACTGTGTGGTAATTGCAATGTTTTGTCATCTCGCAGTAGTTTGAGGTTTCTCAAACTCTAAATGTCATTGCTCKATTTTTTTTGCTGTAACTTAAATCTGTATTTCAGCACAGTGGCCTCTGCACTAAAGTAAACAGAGCTCATGCAAAGGTAATCATACTCAGAGTTCAGAATTTTCRTACTGATGGAGGTTCTTCCACTTTAGTTTAACAGTAAAATGAGGGGGTAGCACTCCAATGAGTAACAGAATCCTAGTAAATTAGGCCCTCATTGTGCTCACATAATGGAAAAATGATMAGATTTTTGTTTCTTAAGAAAAATTAAGGGATCAATTCTCTTTGATTCTGAAGTCACCATGTTAAAAGGAAAGGAAGCAGTTGTGTATAGGCTGGACATGTAATACATGCTGGCAAGTTACGACTGTGTTCAAAGACAATAAGCTTTCTGAATACAATAATATTTTTCCCCCAAAATTGTAATATTTTGTGKATTTTCTAAATAAACTTGTGATGGAATACAGGGTTATCATAGGAGAGTCTGGCTTGCTTTTGGAGTGGGGTGAAGACTGATGAGACTGTTATATTTCTGTAAAACAGTGGTGCATGAGTGACAGCTAAAAGGTGACCTTGGGAGGATGAGAAAAAGGGCTATGTACTGCTTGTTCTCTGTGTGCTTGTAAAAGGTTTGAATGCTGTATTCCTGTCCTTACCAGAAACTCAATAATATGGAAGTTTTGATCTTAATTATTTCAAAGAAAGATGGTGCATTTGTGACGGTATGGATGAGCACAGTGAGGACTGTGTAAGGGCTGGAGCTCTCACAAGCAGTGAAGGATAGACAGTAGAACTCCACAGCTTTAGTAATCTATGTTTGCTGTGTAGACTTTTTACGCTCTTAATGTTTATTCTAAGTTGTTTTCCAATTTTGCAATTTCTTTTTTTCAGCCCTAAAGAAAAGGGTAGCCCTATACAGTGCACTCTGCTAAAACTTACTGCTATTAAAAAAAAAAAAAGTTGTGCTTTGATGAAGTAGGAACCTGTTGTCTATACTGGCAAGAGAAGGTTTATTCCAACTTGCATGAAGTTAGCTTTTGACTTTGATATGAGACATGCATTTCTGCTGAAATTCCAACAGAGAACAACAACACATTCTTATCATGAGATGTAAGCCTTGTGTTTAACAGTAATGGTTATAAATGTTTGCAGGWTTTCCATTGAGAACATGCATATGGGGCTTTTCACCTGGGGTTCTAGGATTCAAAAGGTTTTTGATCTCCAGAAAAATTCTGAACTTATGGCTTCTTTAGATGTTGGTACTGCAAAATATATGCCTTTTGTCAAGTTTTTATTCCAGATTACATCTCATGAAGTGTAGTAGTTGTTAGTTACTTATGGCTGTGAAGAGGACACTGCCAGGGATGATGTGTCAATTTATATCCATTGCAAACTGAAATAAGTAATGCTTTAGGGCCTGTCAGGAGCAGCTAGCTCACAGCTGCTCCTGAAAGCATCCATTTGTGAAACAGTCTGAAAAAATCTTGTTTAAATATGTACTGTAGTGTCAATCTTGTATTGATTTTTTTTTTTTTCTGACAAAACAAATGTGAGCATTAAATACTAGCACTGCATGTAAGAATACATTAGCATTTTGAAGCATTTGGAGATTGAGGCAGAGGATTATGGACCTGAGTAGTCAGGGCTGCTTAACCTGCCACAGATCATAGAATCCTCACRGAATGGTGTGKGTTGGAAGGAACCTTAAAAGTCATCTACTGCCAACTTGCCTGCCATGGACAAGGGCACCTTCCACTAGATGATGTTTCTGAATGCCTCATCCAACTTTTCCTTGAACACTTCCAGGGATAGGACATCCACATTTCTCTTGGCAACCTGTTCCAGTGTCTCGCCACTCTCACATGGAAGAATTTCTGCCTCATATCTAATCTAAACCTGCCCTGTTTTGGTTTAAAGCCATTCTTCTTGTCTTCTCACTACATGCCCATGTCAAAAATCCGTCCCCAGCTCTCTTGGAGCCCCTTCACATGCTGGAAGGTGCTCARAGGTCTCCTTGGAGCCTTTTCTTCTCCATCTGAACAGCCCCAGCTCTCTCAATCCATCTTCATAGGACAGATGCTCCACCCCTCAGAGCATCTTCATTGCCCTCCTGCGGTCTTGCTCCAGGAGCTCCACATCCTTTTTATGCTGGAATCCCCAGGGTTGGATGCATTAGTCCAGGTGGAATAGAGGGACAATTGCCTCCCTTGACTTGCTGGCTATGCTTCTTTTGAGCCAGTCCAGGCTGTGATTGAATTTCTGGGTTGCAAACACGCAGTGCCAGGTCATGTCCATCGTCTTMCCCATTAACACCTTTTTAAGTCCTYCCCAGACTTGCTCATACTCCTTTCTCTGCCCAGCCTGTATTTGTGCTTGGGGTTGCCCTAGCCCAGGTGCAGGACATTGCACTTAGCCTTGTTGGACTTTGTAAGGTTCATGCAGATCAACCTCTCATGCCTGTCAGGGTGCTTCTGGGTGGCTATTGTTGCTGTTTCTGGGTAGCTCAGATGTTTTTTGTGACTTCTGCGTATTCCAGCTGTACTGCTTGGGGAGCCTTACTTCCACTTAAGGTATTGCTGCATATGTTTTCTTAAGCAGCCTTTTGGTAGTTCAGTACAACTTGCTGCAAGCTGTCAAGTATCTGCTATAGCCTTGTTCAGTTGAGGCATAAAACCCCTGGTATTAGTTACACTGAAGTGTTTCAGTGGTTATCACAGTGGGAACCAAATKGTTTCATGACTCCCTTTTGGGAATTTAAACCAAAGGCAGAGATGCCAGATGAAGCAAATTGAACATGGATCTATTACTAAGGTTACTGCTGTCTGCGTCTCAAAAGCCTTCCAGTACAAAAGTATTTCTTTGAGGCTAATGTTGTACATTGGCAGCTTTATATTTTGGCATGGAGGGGAACCTGCCAGGTACCAGCTGCTCAGGGAGTATRTGATATGATGCTCAGCTTCTGTCATAGGATAAGAGTCAAATGTACATGGACTGAAAATAACTTTGTAYACCGTGCTGGTAATGTGTAGTGTTGTTTTTAAAAGAGACTCAAGGTAATAAGTGGATTTTTATTACTTTGCCCCAAAATAATAACAGTTCAAAATCTCTGATGTTTCATTCCTTTTCATATCAGAAAAGATCCATGAATTCTAAGTAACTGACTTTTACAGCTCTATTGATACTATATCCCACCATATATTGTGTTGAAGTATTTATTGTCCATCTGTTCTGCTGCAGGAGAAGATACAGGCCTCATATCAACATTCATTTTAGTTGATGGCTATGGGAGCTGTTTAGCCAAAACTCAGGTAACTTCTGTACACAGCAGCCTGTAACTGCTGTGCTTAAGGATCAGTAAAGCAGACATCATGTATTTTGCAGGTGACATACACCAGTATTTGCACTRTTAAAGTGATAAGGTTTTCACTGACCATAAGATCTTCCCTTCAATGCAAATTACAAGAGTTTTRTTTTAATGAAAAGTTACTTTGTCAAGCAGTATTAATATTTTGAGACTGCTRTATTTTGGTTACTGTTGTTTTGATATTCCCACTGGGGCATTAGTCCTAGCAGTAAATGGGTTTTCTCTTATTTCAGCTTTGATTTTGAAAAATCTAATGCTTCTTTTCCTGATCCTTATCTGTTTTATTTTCTAGGCYTTTCTTAAATCTTTCCATGTCTAAATGGACTCCTGAATGTAATATAGTGTATACTCTAAAAGCGGATATGAAGAGTGAAGTTCCTTCTGATGCACCAAAGAGACAGGAAAGTCTGAAGGGGATCCTCTTGAACCCTGAGCCTATTGGGGCAGCCAAAAGCTTCACTGCAGAAGTTGAGATGATTGCCAGTAAAGTAGGGAATGAGTTCTCTCACTTGTGTGGAGACTCTCAAAAGCAAAAGGACATGAATGGCAACCATACAGACCAAGAAAAGGGTAYTGTGGTGCGAAAAAAACGCAAGAGCCAGCAGGCTGGTCCTTCATACACTCAAAACTGTCCTGATAAAGAAAATAAAGGAATCTTGGGATTGAGACAGCATCTAGAAACACAGAGTGAAGACGATTCTTCTTTTAGTGACTGTATCTCTTCGCCTTCATCTAGCTTGCATTTTGGAGACTCTGACACAGTAACATCTGATGAAGAAAAAGGTGCTCCTGTGAGACACCCTCAGGCAGTGTTGAATACTCAAAGTAGAACTCACAGTGCAAGGTCACAAAAGTGGCCTCGGACTGAGGCAGACTCTGTACCTGGGTTATTGATGAAAAGGCCATGTTTTCACAACAATTCTATAAGAAGACTCCCATATAGGAAGAGAGTTGTAAAAACAGGTTCATCACAGCGGACACAGAACCAAAAAGAACGAATTTTAATGCAAAGGAAAAAGCGGGAAGTGTTAGCTCGAAGAAARTATGCCTTGCTCCCCAGTTCTAGCAGCTCCAGTGAGAATGATCTCAGCACTGAATCTTCTTCCAGTTCATCTACTGAAGGGGAGGAAGACTTGTTTGTRTCACCTGGTGAAAATCATCAGAACAGCACAGCTGTTCCTTCAGGTAAAACTGAATTCTTGAGGTATTTTGTATCAGTTACCTTTCATAGTGTTTAACAGGCTTTTTTATAGTTCTTTGGAGCAGTTTTCATTGAAGTTAATACTCCAGATATATCTCCTGCAAGTATTGTGAACATTACAACATAAATTCTTGATGGGAAAAGTACATTCAGAGCTCACAGTAGAATTACAGCAAATCTAAAATCTTGAATGTAAAAGTTAATAGTTTCTAAGGAACATAGTGGAAGGTTGCTCTGTCTGATTAGTCACATGCTGCTGAGTTGATCCATTTTTGGCTTTTTAGCTGTTGAATTGTATTAATTTTAGCTTTGAACTGATTGTTGTAATAATTCTATTTTCACATTGTAGGAATATCTGCTAATATTTAACTGCACTTGGCAGTTTAGAGAAATATGAAGAAAAAATGTCCATTATTATAAGAGCCTGGAATAGGAATCAGTTGAAGGTAGCATTAGTACTGAGATAGTAAGAGGAAAGTATTGAATATATACCAAATGTTTTACCTAGATAAACCCAATGCAATGCAGTTGGTTTACACAATTATTTCTCTAACATGTCTTGTCACAGTCTCTGAATACTTGAGTGTTTGGAGGAAGACTTTTTTGTTTTGTTTGTTTTGTTTGGGGCTTTTTTCCAGGCTTGTATGTTTGTTGTGATTTTTTTGTTAATTGATGGATTTTTTTTTTTTAACTTACTTTCATGTTAAATTTGCTTAGTAAAAGTAGTTGTGCATTTTGTTTATTAATTCAGCTTTTTAGAGAGCATGGAAAAATAGAACACAGTATGGTGTTAATCTGTGCAACCAAGTGTTTTATCTAGAGACAAATATGTTTTAATAAGTGAAACCATACCTCAGACTATGCTGATCATTCCTCCAAGAAAATGTGACTAAAAATAAAAGGATGACTTAAAATAAGTGTGAACGTTCATGTTAGGACAGGATTTATGCTTGAAGAGAACCAGAGTACTAAAGTCTAGCTTATTGCTTGTTATGCATTGTAGCAGGAAGTAATTTGTGCGATGTTTAAATACAAGAAGTAAAATCTGTAATGTAGAAGTATTACTTATACAATGTTAGAGTTGGGCATATAGAATTCTGAAACAGAGGAATTATTGCACAGCCTTAATTATCTTGATACATATTTGTAGGAATAGAAATTAATTACCTCTAAAAAAGTTACATTTGACATGTGTGTTAAAGCATATTGAAGAATATGATTTGTAAATAATAAATGTGTGGGGATATGCATCATTTATATTAAAAACCAATTTGAGAAACTACTGTGTTAACACCTTCGTTTCCAAGCTACTGGTTTCTTAAAATTTTCAGAGAYGATGGAGTTTTATGTAACTGTAAAATGATGTAGGATCATTAAAAACTCTCCTTCCACGTAGATGTGGAAAAGGCCAATGGTTTGATTTTTATACTACTTAAAAAACATAATGAAATSGTTTATTTTAATGTCATGAATGAAAAAATTGATCAGTTCTGCACCAGTTAATTTTAGATTAAAATACTGACATGAGTTGTGACTGAAAGAAGGTCTGCTTTAAAGGTTGTGTCCTGTCATGGCTGTATTTCAGGACCAGTGCTTGCAGGGAGCTGCAATTGTGGCTTAGTGTGTGCGAATACTGTGGGGGTTTTTCCAGTGGAAATATGTATTGATGGAAAGTTTTTTGAGCATTGTGTTTACATTGCAGATATAATGGGAAGTTGAGCAGACATCCTGTGTGAAAGTGTCCTATTTTTAGCAAGAGAAAAATGTGATTAACATTTTCTGTAGCTTTGTGCTGTTATATAAGACATTTCTGGTTATTGAGTTAATTAGGACAGAAATGGGGCCAGCTGGAAAAACAGCTATGCAACTTCYCTGTGTAGTGAGCAAGCATGAGGGGGTTTCTGTATGAGGAAAGGCATTTATTGATAGTAATGCTGCAYGAGCTTGTTAATGTTAGGAAAAATTTCTTTGCTCTACATTGGCACATGTCTCCTGGAATTACAGTGTACTGAAGGATAAATAGTTGCAGCTAAGAATCTGAGGCTTGGGGCATATATGTAAAAGTACTAGAGGAYAAACTTAAGAAAGGAGGAGAATAATAATAATAATTGGAAAAGAAAATACAGTTAAAGATGTGGTAATAGCTGATTTTTTTAATAAGCAGGCATCAAAGTGATGTGATTAGTCTCGTCTACTGAGTAGCAGTTTGAAGTAAGGTCGTGTCAGAAAATATTTCTTTGCTTTGAAATGTTGATGTTTATCTAAAGATACAGTGCATTTAAAGAACTAGTAAATTCAATTAGTGTAGACTGTTCTGGAAAACGTTTCTTTCTGATTGTTGCAAGAAATTAAAGTAACAGACCTTTTTAATCAATGAAGTGTTTAGTAAGTTCGTTCTTAYAATGAATAAAATTTACTTGGCTAATTTTAGAAAACTCATATAAATGAAGATGTGGAGGGGGGTTGTTTGTTTAACGAAACCTTTACCAAAAAATCCAAATAGCATCATATGGATTTTTTTCCTCCATTTCTTTTAGAGCTTTGGTTATTTTTCTGGTGAAACTTTGTGCTTTCAGAGTGTGAAGTAGGTYCTGACACCTGGGACTGGATGATAGTGTTTTACCAACTGTTTGCCATAGAAGGCATTGTTCCCATTACATCTGGGATGGGCAGCTGAAGCTCATTCTGGGGACACAGGAGTTGGGGGCGTAAGGCCAAATAAAAACAGCTGCCTGTAGTTGAATCATCATTACAGCTGAAGGTGCAGCTGCTTTCAGAGGTGTGTGTTCTCATTGCAGTGTTGATCAGCTGGTTTCAATTGCAAGACTGGCCTTGCCGTTAAAATGACAGCAAGCAGCAGCATTTTTGCTGTGAAACATGAATTTTGATTCTGTGTTTTGTTCAAGTATTGTGGAAGCTTTTCTCTAACCCTGTACACACACCTGTAGAAATAATCCTCCTTTGACTTTGCTTATGAAAGGTGGCAAAATTCTACTTTACTGTTATTGGATCTCTTATGTTGTAATGCAAATTTTCTGTTTCTACAGGTATTTGATTTTCATCTYGGATCTAGAGGGTTGGGGCTTGCCCTTTGGAGGCAGTCTGTGGAGGGAAATCTAGCAAAAGCTACAATTGGAGCAAGTTTTTASCCTTACATACTCTGATTTGGTAATAAAGCAGAACTCTGGAAAATGGGAAAATGTTAGAAGAAGAAGCTGGATAGAGTTTTGCATTGTCATAAATCRTTCACATTGTTCACCTAGTAACACTTAAGATTCCTTCAGGATCTGACATATTATTTTATATTTTTGAACAACTAAATCTTGACAGGTTTTTCTTTTCTTAGAACGTAATGCTGATGAGAAGCTGCTCCAAATTTTGTTCAAAACTGCTTAGAATGATAAGACAGCATTTATTCACTRCATACCTCTTCATTCTCTAGCATTTGTTTTCGGTCTCCCAAAAAATGTTGAATATAGACTACAAGCCAGAGGGTGGTGAAAACGTTAAGCATATACCACTTCATGCTCAGATTATCTTAACAGGTTTAAGATAAACATGTATTAAGTGGAAATGAGCTGCCTCTTGTTAGAGTTGATTATTTTTCAGTTACTTAATCTGTCTTACAAACTACAGCATGCAGTCCTCTTCTARCAGTACCTGATGCAGCTCATAATTCCAAGCTTTTACCTCAATAGCATTGGATAAGGAAGGGTGTAAGTATCCTGTTTACCATGCTGCTTACTGGAGAGGAACTGAGAAGTGGTGAGTAAAGAAGCACCTGGCTTTGTGAACAGTGGACATTAATCAGTGTTGCTATATCCATCTGCTGTGAATTGGTGCTTTAAATAGCTACCCTAATAAAAGTYAGCGTGGAATTCACTTCAGAACTTCCCCACTGCAGCTTTCTGTTTGGAAAAGCTGCTTTTTGTAGAATTGGCTTGTTGTGGCATTGCCCATAGGAATGATTTTAGTGCATGGTAAACAGTTGATACAGGTTTAAATTATCRTGGCTCGTAGCTGGACAAAATCCCCAAATTCTGGTTGTTGACTGTGTTTTCCACCAGGGTGCAGTCTCCTAAGCAATTTGTGCKTTGGAAAACTTTTCCCATCATGCACAGCTATTGGAAAGTATACTCTGAGAAAGTCTCAGGTACTGAAAAACTGTCATCATCCAACGCTAAGGGACCAGGCAGGTTCTTGCCAGWGTGTTGACAGCACTAAATGATAGTTACAATTAAGTCTGTCTTTTCTCAGCAGGATATTATAATTTTATGAGTAGAATGTCAGAGGATTTCTATGTAAAGAAAGCAAGCAAAGTCAATGAAATACAATCCATAAGTGGCATAATACAAAATTTATACTACCACTTAGGCTAAAATTTTCAATCACCTGCACCCTCTGCAGATCAGGTCAAATCTTCATATGTGGTTTGCTTTATCAAGAAAACAATCATAGACTAAAAACCATATAAAAGAGCATGAGTCACTCACTCAGTCCACAGAGGAAGCAGATGATGATGGAGGTGTCCCGTGCCACCAGTGAGGGGTCGAATTTCTGGTCCAGGTTCCCACTTAGGGCTTGTAAGTGCTGGATTTTCTGGACAGTGCTCTGGGTGCTCTCAGGCTGCCCTGCGCTCTGGCAGGGACATCAACAACACCTGCTTGGCCGCCTGCCTGGGACCTTCAAGGCTGCCAGGGGAAGGGAGTGATCGTCCTGGTGCCCAGCAATCTTGAGACGTGTRGGGAGGCAAAGGACAAACGTATTTGGTCTGTCTGCAGGGTTCCCAGGACCTTCAGAGCCTGAGAACAAGGCCAAAGCAGACAGATACGTGACCAGCTCGGTCACAGAGGATGGCTCCTCATACAGTGGGGCTTGCTAACAGTGTTAGCAGGGTCAGAGCTGGGGCACCAGCCATATCGAGCTCAAGAGCTAAAGAAGACAGTACTCATTAATACTAGCAGAGTATTGTTTTATCCATTTCAAGCTGAATTAGCATCCAAGTCATTATCTTCAAATCATGACCATAAGTGAGTGTAGAGGCACATAGTCTCAAGTTCAAAAAAGGATTCAACACACTTATTGACAGCTCTTCATGAGCAGTGACTGGACAAGAAGGTGTGCTGTGACATCTGTGACATTGTTGTGGATGCTGGATGGTGTGAGGACTTTTTGTTAAAATTTGTAGCCTGAATTTTCTGCTCTGACTGCATAGTTTTACCTGTTGCAGCTGTCAGAACATGAACCTGAGTGGTCTCCTGGTCTGATCCAATGAAAGCTTGGAACTCAAAATAAGTTATCTCTGTCACTGGAACTTCACTGCTGATTTAAAAATCTCTTCTGGTTGCACTGAAGACTTGGTCAGAAACTGTCTCATTTGAAATTGTGTATTGTAAAATGTTTTTATTATCTTACATGTAATATCTGAACTCGTTAAACTCCATGTTAGGTGTGAAACAGATGTGAAAATACCCTCTGGGAATGACAACAGTCAGCCAAACACTCACCAGTGTTCTTTATGTCCTTGGTGGGGTACTGGTGGTGGTGATTGGTTATGCCATGATCTTTTAGAGCTAAATACTAGTATCATTATATATATATTAGATGTGCTATACTGTGAAAGCTTAGTTTCTTGCTTACAATTTCTATATTATTGAAGTATTTGATTCTAAAGCTTGCTTCCCAGCAAGTTGGTCTGGCAGTGGCACATAGCAATTGCTAYTGTGAAGTAATCTTACACTTTCTAGGGAAAAGATATCATTTACTGATTTGAGTATTGGACTTCAGAGTCCAATATTATATTTTTTATTATAAAAGTTATATTCTGTTTAAYAAAGTATTTTAATATGACAGTTTTACTGTCTTTGTGAGGTAAGGCCTGGAAGAGAGTGTGTTTTTGTTTTTAAGGGAGGTTTATAGTTTACACATGTTCAGATTTGGATTCAAGCATGTGCAGTKTATTCCTTCCCCTAGGCCAGCTGAGCATCAGGTTTACACATAAAACAGGTTTTTAAAAGAGAGAGAAAAACTTAATGTAAAGAAGTTACTGATTATTTCTGACTAATAGTCACATACAAAACTTAATTACTAATGGCTRTTGAAAGGTCTGAAATGTTGGGAAATGCCAACTGAAAATTGGTGTCCTGCATGCCCTATAAAATATTATTTGTGGATGTGAGTAGAGAAAAAAACACCCCAAATTCTGTTGAAACTAAAAGAATCCTTGCTGTCATTTTCATGAGAAGTTTCATTTTWAAATAGCTCATTTAAAATGCAGACTGGGTCTTTCAGTGGCTGCCCAAAGGCTAATTTGCTCACCAATAACTAGAGTATAATTTGCTTGCTGTGTTTTGTGATTCAGAAGATGACAGAGTGAAATAATGTATGCCTGTAGGAAGACGATTTTCTGTTTGTTTTCTAGCCATAGGTATTATTCTGAAAGTAGTACAAAATACATCTCTTACATCTGCCCAAGTATTTTGCTGTCAACAGTCCAGTGACTTTTCTCCTTGGAGGGAGATGWCTATACTAATCCTGCAGTCCTTGAAGGTTAACACTCTCATTATACAAAYTGAGCTASCCTCTTACAGCTTCAGTCATTTAGATGATAGATTAAGGTGTTAATTCTTTACGTTTTGCTTGAAATTCTTTACAGACAGATGATGACTGGTCAGTGGCTGGTGTGTGCTAAGAAAAGAAAGTGAATTATGCCTTATCATAGGGGTCTATATAAAACAATTGGACAAATATTTACATAGTTCAGAGGAGGTTTTTTTTCCTGCTTAATTTTGAAGACAGTATTGATTTTTATATATGAAAGTACTTCACAGGATGAAAGCTTCATTAATTTGTGGTTTTGACTTAGGAAGGTGTTTTTAGAAGCATGAGCAGTAGGAAATTGCATAGCTCTGAACCATGTCTATGCTATATCCTCCTTGGAGCAACTCTGACTGTTTCCTAAAGATTTTCTTTTGTTATTTTGGAAGTCATAGGACCTGTTCATGCAGTGTTGGTCCTGATGTTTTCTACAGTTTGATTTGTGTAGTTGGTAAAATCACATCTCAACTAAAGATGTGCTTAAAAAAARGGATTGAGTAAAATGAGCTTTCAGACATTGAGAAAGGTATCTGAATTGTGGAGATACTCAGTTAAGAATTCCCTTCAGTTTTTATGAACTAAGCTTGTGTCAGAATTTCAGTAGARATGCACACTGGGTGAATTTCACTGTAGATCCACATGGCAGAGAATTCTGTTGAAGTAACAAAATCATATTTAAGCCTTTCTACTTTTGTACCTGTCATAAATTTCAGTAAATACTGAGCCTAAGGMCATGTGGACTCTTAAGGAGTGCTCTCAAACTTACTGTATTTCAGAGAGAAGTGCAGGTTTGGARGACAGGAGGAGGAGTTGAGGGTTTTTCTCAGTGGCCTTTCAGACAAAACAGTGGTTTTGTCTGAGAGCAGCTGAGATAGTTTTGTGTGAGAAAGCTGTTGCTTGTTTGTCCACCCTAGGCACAATGTTTACATTCTTTTGAATGTGCTGATAGCCTTAGCTGCTTCTTTTCACTCGGAGTAATTTGCCTTTCAGTATTTTCAATTTTGGAATACGATTTTATTTTTCAGACATAGCAGTGTTTTCAGTTTTTCCTAAGATTTTCGTGCAAGTTCTGAGAATTAATTTTGTTCCACACAAATTGGAACAAAATTGTTCCAATTGTTAGAGTTTTGTTAGTACCAGTMTTTGAAAGCATCACTCCTTACATCTTTAGTTAGCAATCCTTTTGGTTTAAGTATGGTGGGAAACAAAGGCCATTGGAAAATACGTAATGCAGTTTGGGTTTTTTTCAAAGCATAGAAACTGATAAAAATGGATAATCTCTTGCACCCTGTAATTGGGTAAAGCAGTGAGAACAGTCAGTCCAATACAGGGTGGAACTATTGACTTGAAAGAGACCAAATTCTTCAAGCACTTCCTTGACCAATTTGCAAGAACCAAAATGGTAGTTTGCATTTTCTAAGCTATCTGGCTCATTTTTTTAAAAAGTCCTTTTGTGATCAGTGAATAATCCATAGCTCAATTTAAGTACTGCAGATAGCTCAGWCTTGCCACTGCTGGTATTGCAGCTCTAGAGAAGTGTTTCATGTGTCTGCTTGTTAGGCTGAAACTTTAACCATTCTTCCTGGAGTGGAAGTTGTTTCCTATGAAGACTTGTCTCTTTTGTGGGGTTTTAATTGTTTTTTATCATTGTTWGTTTTATTTTGTCTTCCTCTGTCTGGTACAGATTGTGAATGCTACAAAAAGTCTCGATACAAAGATGTTTATAACCACCAAGGGATTAATTTTGTTGTAGGTATGAACTAGTTGGTGCATAATTTTTCTTTTGTTGTCAGTGTTTAGCATTGGGACTGATACCTATAAAAGCATTTTTAAAAAACCTGTTKGTGATAACAAATGACTAGTGCTTTGCTAGCTTGGAAGTTTGTTCTGGTTTTATATTAAATGGCTCAATTTTGTTGGTATTACAGGTAATTAAATTCACTCTAATTGTTTTCAATCTTGTAATGCAAGCTTACATACCTACCCCACACTCAAATCCTCTGTCTCCTTCCTTCTTTTTGCTTCAGTATTTACAGCAGACTTGCTCCCTTTAATAATTAGGTCATGTATTTGAGAGTTGCACCTAAAGTTTTGACATACACCATGGAATTCTTGCCTACATGTATTTTAAATCTATGAAAAATAGTCTATCACAATGACATCCTGAGATAAATGAAGTATACAAACTTTCTTCTTCCATTTTCCTCATCAGGAAGTATTGATGAAGATGTTGTGGTGATTGAAGCATCCTCCACTCCCCAAGTCACTGCTAACGAAGAAATAAATGTTACCTCAACAGATAGTGAAGTGGAGATTGTCACAGTTGGTGAAAACTACAGGTGCGATTTGCATCTCTTTGTATTTAATACAGTTYTGCTTGCCTCCAGGTTTGTCACAATTGAAAGCCCATAAGGGTAATGTCACTGAAATTCTACCCAGGATGCCTAGTATGCATTTTTKATTAAAAAGCCAAACAAAAATGAGTAAAACAAAGCCGAACAAAAACAAAAAATCCCAGTCCTTAACCCCCAAACAAAGTAAGGAATAAGACCCCCAACGCACAACTTTGCTAAAGCTTGTGAATTCATTTAATCTGGAGCTTGTTAAGGTGGCTGCATTAGTGCARTTGATGTGCAGAATGTGGAGGAAGCAAAGCTGCCTAGTGACATCCTAGAGAGAGCATGTGTAGGCTGAGTTGACTGTCTGGGGATTAACTGAGCATTTCTCAGGAAAGCAGCCTACTTTTTTGAAGCTGCTGCTGCTGCTGTATATGCATTCCTGTTCTTCCATGACTCTCTGGAAGTTCTGTTCCATATTTTCAGATTTGATAGATTCTGTTAAAGTGGAGTTCCTTGAAGAAAACTTTAAATTCAAGCCTATYGAAAGCCAGACAAGATGATTTTTAAAAATAGACAGCTTTGTATATTCCTTACATCAATAAGATGTGTTTTCTGTARTAACCTTAAGACTTGAAAAAATTTTTTCTTCCCTCACCCTCTGCAATGCTATAGCCAAAACAGCAGTAGCTCCATGGTGATTTGTGCAATGGGTTTTGTTTGGTTTTAGTGAAATCATTCTCTTGTTCACATTTTCCTCTTCCGAATTTCTGAGTACATTGTTTTTCCAAATTGGAAAATAGGAGCCACTTGATTTATGTAAGTACTGGAGAGTCAAAAGTTTTTTGAGAGTGAAATGGTAAATACGATAATGTAAAAATATTATTCTCTTAATTAAAGATTATATCCTTCAAAGAGGATGCACAGTCCAAAAATCATTGTCTTGAGTGTTTGGGTTTGTATGGCTAAATTGAATGGAATTGCTGAGTATTCCTTCCTTAGGTATGGTTACAGACTTAGGATTTCCTCTCCTCAGCCACATTTGATTTTAGTTTAAGTATCAGACAAAGCTGTATTTGTTCTCCAGAGAGGAGGAGCAAAATAATATTAGAGAGAAAACTCCAGAGATTTTGCACTTTCAAGACATTTTTGAAATTTGAAGTATTGAAATTAACCTCTGAAAATACTCTGTCACAAGTTAACATGCAAAAGTACTTAATTGTCTTTATAGTTCTGTCATCATCTATACACCTGCTGCTTCAAACTGCTTAGGAATAGTATAGGATTTGGGGACTCTTCATTTACAAAATTTATGAAGCTAAAACGACTTCAGCTATAATTGCTGCCTGGCCATGGTTGTAGGGTTTCATAGTAAATTTTTTTTTAAGATAGCTGTGTATACATGGGACATGGTTTAAAAATCTTTAAACTGTAGGTATTGGGCATTTGCTGTTACATTCCCTGGTAAAGGCTGCAATGGTGTTTGTAAGTGCATTTAGTGAAAATGGAGTCATGGAGGGTATCTCAGTGTAACAAGATGCTTTTCTAGTAATAAAAATACACAACTTCAAACAGCTCCTCAAACATGAGGAGAAAAAAATCCTAAAGGCAAAATGTGGGCCAGTAGCTGAGGTGTTGCCSTTTGTTAAGGTCTCGTTCTGCCCTGGGACACACGAGATCACACTGGGGCCAGAGCTCCGGCACACACACTGCCCGGCCCCTGGAGCAGCGGTCCCGCAGCAGGATCTCCACAGTCATCCAGCCCCTGCGGCAGAATGCAGCTGAAGTTGTGGACCTCACTGTGGATGAAGATGGTGAGTTGCATTGTCAGAGAAATCTTTTCCTTTTCCAGGCACAGGATGGGCAGTGGAAGGGCAGTGGAGTTCATTACCTCAGTTATAAAGTAGCCTTCTATGAGGATGTCTTAATTTCCAAGCCTGTCRGAAAATGCTTTTGTGCCCTTCTTTTCAAAATTAAAAGTTTAGCTGTTTTCAGTAGGTCTTTCAGATCTAAAGATASAGATTTTCTTCCAAAACTGCCTTGGGTGTGTGTCTGAGGGCTGACTCACCAGGCAGAAATTACAGAACAGGTTGGAACTACTTCTTGAAAAATATATACTTACTTCAATACAGGACTATAAAAGGGAAGTCTGTCATTGCCTATGATTTGGAATAGTTACTGTTCTATTAGGCCTTGAAGTAAAAATAACTTTTAAAAAAAGAAAAAAGCCTAACCGTAAACTAGTAAAGTGTGTTAGGTTTCTGAAGCTGTAACCTTTCATTGGGTCCCAGCATTAAAACCTGCTGACACTTAATAAGTCTRTTCCTGCTGAAAATCATAAGAGCAACTTCCAGGTACTACCAGAAAGCTGAGAGAAGGAAAAACTGAAGCTCATGTACATTTTTGTCCATTTATTTTTTGTAGTTGGTGGTGGTTCTGGGGATTTCTTGGGTGCATGTTATTTTTAATGTGAACAGAAGTTTTGTCCTATTGTGGTTCTGTCCCTGAGTRCATTTAAAGTTTAGTATCTTGCAATGTCTTATTCTTCAAGTTGGTGAGTGTTCTAGAGCGCTCTTTGGGGTGGGTTGAAAAGTTGAAAACGTGGTTGAAAAGTTGAGAATAGTTTTGGTTTGGTTAATGGATTTTAAGGAAGAGGATGAGTTGATGTACAGATTTTCTTTATGGATTTACTGTGAAATATCCCAAGAGCTCTGTTGTTGAAGGGATGGGGTGTAGGTTTCTATTGGTTTCCTCTTAAAATTCATATTATAGAATTTAGTCCTAAATTCTGAAACCAAATTATTTTAAAAATACACTTCCGTAATGTATGCGTTTAAGACTGGCTACTTCTCCCACCTCCTAAAGGAAATGCCTTTCTAAGGTGAATCTTCCAGGATTTCAGGGATATTATTTCTGGTTTTAGGCATCAAATTTCACACACGAATTAGTGTAAAAGGATCAGACTTCTGAACTAACACTTTTACAAGGCAGCTGTGCAGTTAATTGCAAATTTACTGATTTCATCAAAGAGACTTGTCTTAAAATTTGGCTGGCTGCTTCSCTGAGCATAAGGATCCTATCTCCATCTTTCTGGATATATGGCTGTGCAGTGTGTTAAGGAGTTCAGTTTCTCTTAGCCAGTAGTTTGAACGGACCAAGCCCTCTGTTTTTCGCTGTTTTGGGCAGGGGAGAATCAGAAGTGTCCGTAGGGTCGGTGGTGAAMGAGTCTCAGGCTGGTGGGGTACCTGAACCTGAGGAAACTCAGGGTGGCCACTGCAGGACTGCTCAGACCTGAGCACTGCCTGGTCACTTCTCATTGTAGGCTATACAATGAGCGGATATAAAGTTGCAGTTGTTTTCTGAATTTTAAGCAATAGTATGTTTTTCCAAAAATGCTGTCCTTAAAATAAATAAAATTAGTATATTGGAATGCCACATTAAAAAGGAGAGGAATTTAAATGTAGATGTCAAGTCATGTTTTTTAATGCAATGAGTTGGAAGGCTTGCAAGAGAGAAGGTATATTTATTCCTTTGCTCGCTGAGTTTCTGGTACTCCTGCTAGATATGGAGAGAAATCTTGAAAACTGCTCATTTTATTTTGAGTTTTTGTTTAAGGGAAGTATTTGAAGTTTTTCGATGCTCTTTTTTCCCCTGATATCAATGCAGACATTTTTACTAAAAAAAACTGAGCTGTTTTTGATAATCCTCCCTTTCATGGTATCTCATATTCTTAGTCATGTCATTGACTTGTCATTACTTTAGAGAAATTCAAACTTACWAAGTCTTTTTCAAAACTAAATTTAAGTTATGCCACCAAGTGTAGTTGTACATTTTAATTTGTTTACAATTATTGACTAAAGGACAAGACTTATCAAGTGTTTTGTATTTCCCAGGATATATTGCTCACTGCTAGCTTTCAACTAGGTAATGTGAACATGTATGCACCTTTAAGAGAAGTCTCAAATACTGATAATCTGCTTTTAATGTGCTGAGTCTAGAAACCAGTTTATCATGCTGAAGCTTTTAGTACTGTGCATCTGGAATGATTGAAGTTTAAGTAGTACTGCTGGTTTAGATGTTATGCTGTTCTTGGTGAGTGATCTAGAAGTTTTTCTGTTCTTTGTAGGCAGCAAAAAGTTGTAAGGGTATTACTTAGTGATAGAATAGTTTGCTTGTGGATTCATGGAGAGTATCAGCAAACATTTTCATAATAAAGTACCAAAGTAATTTTATCTGCTTTATAGCAGGGTTTTTTAAATCCAGTAAATAAAACTCAAATGTCAGGTTTGGTTGAGAATTGATTTTATGGTAATTAATTACAATTTGAGTAGATGTAACARAGAGAGAAAATAAGATAATTCTCTTCCCGCACACAAGCCTGGCAGGTTTTTGTGTTCTGACTCTCTTAGCTTTTGGCAAGGCCAGAATTGAGAATGTCTTGTAAAATAGTTTGAAAGCAGCAACAACAATAAAAAAACCTCAGCAGCTTTAAAAGCTTAAAGAACTTGAAAGCTTTTTTATTTCCCTAGAGCCGACAGTTGTGCCAACCACATCAGCTCGAGTGGAGCCGCAGGTCGTGAGTTCTGCTTCCACTACCAGCTCCAGTACATCTACCTCAGAGCAGGCCTCTGATGCAGCTCCAAACGTGTCCAGCAGCCAGCCCTCTGCAGCAACAGAGACTGCTCCCAGTCTCCCCAGTGGCAGCACTGCTGCTTCTTCAGCTGGAGGTACAGAATACGTGCTTTGAGCAGTTGTGTTGCCTCTGAGTACAAAGGAGGTAGTTAATCAGCATTCTCTGAATTAAATGCCATGTGAACTTCTAGTACTGAACGTAACAGCAGTAAGCTGAGAGGGCAGGGATCTGAAAAAGACCACTGATTTCTGCACAAAGGTACAGGAAATTTGCTAGAGCTTTTTGCCTTTTGCCTGTTGGAATGATTTGGTTATACGTAATCAACCACATCTTTGCTTTTTGAGGAGGTGGAATGTAGTTCACTGGGAATTAAGTCTCCCATTGCAGTGTTACGGAGGTATTTTTTTAATGTGTGTTGTAAGGATGTGAAGGATATATCTGGATTCCTTKAGTACATCTCCTGCTGTAGATCACCCCCTTGGAGCATGTTAATACAGACCTGTATAGAGCTATATATACAGGGAGCACTCATGACATCACTGACACAAAGCTGCCCTATCTGCAAGTGAGGTGAGGGACAATAAACCTGAGTGGCTCACAGTTACACAGGAATTTGAGGTCTCTGCACACTAACCACAGGGTGGTGTGTGGTCCTTTCCCTGCTGGTGACATGCCTTAAATTTGTTCAATAAGGCAAATGTCAGTTCACATCCTCCAGTGGTTGCCACATGTACTTCCACCTGAACCATTTGGTTTTGCTTCATTTGGCAGGTATAGCTCAATCCTRCTTTTTGTATGTCGTTTGTTTTGTTATAGTCTAGATCTGGTTTTCAACTGGGTAGATACTTAATCGTGAGGTGGTATTTTCTATTTAAAACACTGCTTTACAGTGACCAGCTTTACTAATTTCTTTCACTTCAATATTAACTTTCTTTGTCTTCAAGATGAAATAGGAAGAGCTGCATCTAATTCGACACTGGAAACTGGCCCTCCGGCCATGCCAAGGCTACCATCATGCTGTCCCCAGCATTCTCCTTGTGGAGGACCTTCACAGACTCATCATGCATTGGGGCACCCACACACAAGCTGCTTTCAGCAGCATGGCCACCACTTCCAGCATCACCACCATCACCACCACAACCCTCACCCAGCTGTCCCACTATCTCCTTCGTTCAGTGACTCCAGCTGCCCTGTGGAAAGGCCTCCCCCAGTGCCTGCCCCGTGTGGAGCAAGCAGCAGTTCTGGCACCAGTTACCATGAGCAGGCATGTTTAATCCTTGTGACTCACAATCACACCTTGTGACTTGGGATGTAATTGGTCCAGATAAGAGAGAACAGAATAGGATGAGAATTATGAATTAAAGCTYTTGCTCTGCATCTGGCATTATAGAAGGGAACTAAAAGGAAAAGATGAGCTATAATATGTATGAACACAAAACCCTGAAATTTTATAGGAGGTCGTAATCCAGCAAGTAATCATTCACAGCTGACCTCTTGATGGCTGTGAGATGAGTAGTGACTGCATAGCAAACAAACCTAATTACCTTGAAGTATTGTGCCCATCATAGCAGTTTTGCAGTGCAAATCATCGAACTGCTTTGAGGGAAGAAAAATATCAAATCTAATGTTCTGTATATAAAAAGTACAGAAGAGTTGCTCCTCTAAAAGAGTTGTTTTTCAAGACGTTTTCAGTAGTTAAATTACAGCTTTAAATACAGTCATAAGAACAGTGCTGTGCTAATTTTACTTGCATTATGCAGAACTATTAGTGTTGTTTATCTGTTGTAAGGGTTTTTGTTGGGATTTTTAGTTTGGTTTGGAGTGGCTTTGGGGGTTTTGGGGAATTCAAGAATTTCGGAATGTTAACCATATTTAAAAAATGTTCCAGAGTCAAGACTTCAAAATTAGGATCCCAGTTGCTTGTGATAGTATTTATTTTTAAAAAATGTGATGTTTGAGTGTGACTTTTGCTTTCAGTGTCTGAAGAGTTGCTTGAAAAAAGATGATTTGTTTCTGCAGCAGGCATTGCCAGTAGACCTAAGCAGCAGTGGTATCAGAAGTCATGGAAGCGGTGCTTTCCACGGAACATCTGCTTTTGACCCGTGCTGTCCCAGCTCCTCGTCGCGCACGGCGCTCTACGGGCACCAGGCGGGTGCTGGCCCCAGCCAGTCGATGGCGATGGACGGGTATGGATCGGGCATTGTGGCACAGCCACAGCCGCAGCCRCCGCCCCAGGCATCGCTCTCCTCCTGCCGCCATTACATGCACTCTCCTTGTAAGTACTGCTGACACAGCTCCCCTGGCAGCAGGGARCTCCTGCCTGCTTGCATTGATCTTACAACTGGCCTAGCAAAACATGTACTGAAAAATAACTTCAATGGTTAATCTTAGGTAGGGAAGTYGACCAGGATTGAGGTAAACTTCAAATACTTTCTTCTGAGTGACCGTAATAAAACTGAGACTTCAAAACTGTATTTACTATTAAAATATCTTTAATCTCCTTTGTATTCTAGCAGTGGCTTTTAAAAAAAAATTTTCTTTGATCCCTTGTCTCATGCCTTCCAGTGAGTTCTGCTTTAGCAGAATCATTTGTTTGATTGTGATTTCTTTTTCTGGATTTTATTGTCTCCATTGAATAGTGAACCTGGCAGGGAGATTGAACTTTTAAAAATTAAACAACGAATGTAAAGTAAAATTGGAAGGTGATTCTCCCCTTCTGTTCCTCTCTTATGAGACCCCACCTGGAATACTGCCCCAGGTTTGGGCTCTTCATCACAAGGACAGGCCTGTTGGAGTGAGTCTGGAGGGAGGGCCATGAAGGTGGTCAGAGGGCTGGGGTACCTTTGCTACAAGGACAGGCTGAGAGAGTTGGARTTGTTCAGCCTGGCAAAGAGAAGGCTCTGGAAGGACCTTACAGCATCTTCCACTGCCTAAAGGGGCTCTAAGAGAGCTGAAGAGGGACTTTTGATAAGGGCATATGTTGATRGGACGAGGGAGAAGGCTTTAAACTGGAAGAGAGTCGGTTTAGATTGGGTTTAAGGAAGAAATTCCTTACTGTGACRGTGGGGAGGCTCTGGCACAACTTGCCCAGAGAATCTGTGTTTTCCTCATCCTTGGAAAATGTTGAAGGCCAGGCTGGACATGGCTTGGAGCAGCCTTGTCTAGTTGAAGGTGTCCCTGCCCATGGCAGGGGGTTGGAACTAGGTGATCTTTAAGGTCCCTTCCAAGCCAGACCATTCTATGTATCTTTTTCAGTGTGTATCGTACAGATTTTTTTTTCTTCTTTTTTTTGGCCAATATTGGTAAGTAGAATACTTCTGGCTGCAGAAAATGTAGGTTTCTTGTAGGGTATATTGCTAGAATCACTTTATCTAAAAAYTGTATAAACATATATTTCCATGTTGCCACTGTTTAAACTGGTGCAGTAATACTGAAGCGCCTGTGGATGCTCCTTGAAGTAAATTTAAGTCAAAACCGTCTGCTGATCAAATTAAAAGCATYTGATGTTTTCATTGCAGATGCTTCCTTGACCAGACCTCTTCACCATCAAGTCTCTGCATGTCCTCACTCTCATGGAAATCCTCCTCCACAGCCACAGCCTCCACCTCAAGTGGATTATGTTATCCCTCATCCAGTGCATCCCTTTCATCCTTCAATCTCTTCTCATGCATCTTCTCATCCTGTTCCACCTCCACCACCAACTCATCCCTTAGCCAATGCAGCTGCTCCAATACCACAGCATCTTCCGGCAACACACCAGCCTATATCCCATCACATCCCTGCAGCAGCACCTCCAGCACAGAGGCTGCATCCTCATGAAGTAATCCAGAGGATGGAGGTCCAGAGAAGAAGAATGATGCAACACCCAACGTATGTCACAAATGTACTCAGAACAATATCTAAACATATAATTCATTTCCCTCAGGTTTGTAAAATGTTGCATGTGAATCTCAAACTGTTAATTGCATGGTTAGGAACTGTTAGTGTTAAACCATGGTAAGAAGTGTCTTTACAAATCGTCATAGTCATGTGAGCATTAGCACTGAGCCTGCTCCGTTACATCTCTCAGTAGTGTCTCCAGGTAAGGCATGAGTAGGGCTTGGAAGATAAGGGGAGCTTGTTTCTCTTGCCCAGTACTCATCTTCTGGATAATAAGGAATTCCTTTTCAAACTGAACAGCCTAAAGACAACATCATAAGCCCTGGTCAAATGTATTCTTGACAAAATGTTTTGCCTTGTTGATGCTGTTAAGATTCTTTTTATCTAACTGAGGCTTTAAAATAAAATAAACAATTTATCATAAGAGACCATTTATGAGATTTAATTCAGATTAGATACTTACATGTCTTTACTGTGCCTTTGTAGAAGAGGACATTGAGAATGTGATCGATGTTAAAGTGTAGCTTTGGTGATACTAAGACAGGCTGCTGCAGATTCATGATAGTGGTATTAACAGTAGGTTAGTAGCAGCTTAATGTTCAACAGAGTAGCTGAACTTATTTTAATTCTGGAGGTAGTGTGTTTAAATATCTAAGAGAATTTCAAGAATGAGCTTTCAAAGTGTTGCTCCTAACTTTGTTATGAAAATTTGACTCATAACTAACTTAAAACTCATTTAGAAGCTAATGCTTAGAGAATTCTGCTTTAATTGCAACTTTTGAAGCAGCTTCCAGGTGATTTATAAAAATGTCTATAGGCAGTAATTGCTCACAAATGTCGCATGACAGCGAAACCAATGGCCGTGAGACAGCAAGGTASCACTTTAAGGAAAAATAATAGCGCATATCAGATCTGGAAAATTTCCATTAGTTTGGATCTTGGAACTGTGAATATTGGCATTTGTTAGCTTAGTGAATTTCCTTTCCATGTGTATGGAAATTGTAGGCAAATGTTGATAGTAGGTTCTTCCTTGACATTCTCTCTGCATCACTGAGCTCCGGTCAGACAGTGCAAGTTTGCTCAGTGACATTTCTCCTCTTAAGTTTGTAATCCTATGGAATTGTTCTGTTTGGTCTTCTTTCCTCTAATCCTCATTCAAATTACGTGCAAAATCAGTCGTGTAGGTGTCTTTGCCCAGCCTCCTATAAATTACATTATACTCTGACAGCCAGAAATGGGTCTATATTTGCTGTGGTACTGAGTACGGACATGAGGCTGCCAGCTGGCTTGCAGTTCCCTTCAGTTCAGTGTCCTGGAATCTTAAAATGTTCTTAACATGTTATTTCATCCTTCATTTCTACAAATAACCTAAGGGATTAACCTAATAGTCTAGCTTGTATATTTCCTGTCCAACAATATAGGAACTTTTCAGGGYTGGAAGAAGAGAATGGTTAGAATCCTCTCTGTTGTGACTCAAATGTGGGCACAACAGCTGTAACTTCATTAGGGTTGTGGAATTGTCAATAAAATGTGCAAAAGGCAGTGTATCAAGGTGCACTGCATTTGTGTAATATATGGGCTTTCTGCTTACTTTTTATGTAATTACCCACCCATAAAGATTGTGGAATGGACAGCCTAGTAGTTTTACATTTATAGATTATTTCTGTAATTAAAATATTTCTTTTAGATTAAGAGTTGATTTAGGGAAAATGAACCTACATGGTATTCAAGTTTCGTGAAACTAGGGAAGTTGTTTTGCTGTGGTTTTGRGTTTATTTGCATTAAAGTGTGTTCTTCCAGATTTTTCCCCCATAATTACTAGATAAACTGAAGGGAGGTGAGACTACGAATATGTTCTGCTGCTTCTCATGTTCAAAATCCATGTCCAAGTATCTTCTGTAGGCCTGCTCCCATGTTAGTCTGTACCACTGCAGGAAATGAACAGTTTTCACATAATTTATAYGAGCTTGACAGATTTCTCTGGAGAAGTGTCACTTAACAGCACACTGTTCTAATCACTGTAAAGTACATTTTTGCCTCTCTAGACATGTAAATTTACAAAATGTCTGGTCTACTTTGTCAGGTAGTTTAAGGTGGTATAGAACCTGGAGAATGTATACTGCTTTAGCAAGATCCAAATTTTTATGTTGCATAATAAACCATCCTTTCTGCATTGAAAGCAATAGAAAAAAAAATCCTATTCCATTTATTTCTGTGGTGAARTAGGTAAAGTGGGAAGTACTAAAGTGTCAGAAATGAGTGAGCAGGGATTTTGGAGTTTTTTTTCAAATCCATGGTTCTAGATCAGCTGGCATTGATAAAAACTGCATGTTCTTATTACCTGAGCTATGATGCTAACATGTTGCAAGGAGAATGTCCTCTGATTAGCRTATTAAATTTCTCCTAATTACTTTTGCTGGTATAATTTTGCTASTAATGATCTGCAGCGAGGCTGTGAAAGACACTTAATCTGAACATGACTGTCATATGGCCTTTACTTTCCTACCTGCTCTTTGAGGTCAGGATTAATCACTTTGTCAGACTTCYAGTAGTTGTCTGCCAAGTGAAGGGCAGATGACTGTAGCTGAAGTTGGCTTTGGTTTTGAATGTGAAATCTGTGTTAAAATTATTTTTAACTTGCATCTAAAGTAGAAATTAAAATACTGCATGGGGAGTTTCTTATTTTAAAGGTCCTGTAGTAGCTCAGTCTGTAACATTTTGGTTATGGGTGTTSGTTTCTTGATTCTAAAAAGTATGTGAAGTTAATTGTGGCTGTTCTTYGTTGTTTAGACGTGCTCATGAGCGGCCTCCTCCACATCCTCACAGAATGCATCCCAATTATGGTCATGGGCATCACATCCATGTGCCTCAGACTATGTCTTCCCATCCTCGACAAGCTCCRGAGAGATCTGCCTGGTGAGTAGTGAGGCACTGTTGGAGCTCTTGGGCCTCTAGGCAGGAGACCATAATGTGCTGATCACAGTGTTGATAATGCTGGCTGTGATTCTAAAAACTGCTGCATGTACCTGTAGTTTAAAATTTGTGGATGTTGACAAGGGTTTGAAATACTGCTTTGAGTACTCAATATCTTAAAAACACTTYGAGTGTTTTTTAAGAGTTTGAGTTACAGTATATTCTCTCCCCTCTTTGCTTGAACATAYTCACAATTGCATCAGGCCCACTTAAGAAACATGCACTAAATTCCACAATATATTTATTAAAAAAAACTTTTTGACCATTAGTGAAGCATTACAACTGCTATTGGTGACAGTGTGTGCTGCAGAGAAGACTACACATGATTTTAATATTACTGGGCACAATAAATGCGGAGYTGTCTTGATTTTTTTCATACTAAATCTTCACAGCTGATTTAAAAAGAACTTCTAGTTATGGTGGGATGATTCTTTAACAAAGTTTAAATATGGTTAAAAAAATTCTTAGGGTAAGCTGTACTGTCTTGTAGGCTTTCCAAAGCAGTGGAATTGTACCTAGGAGGGCAAGCTATTCCTTTACTGTAATGCTACTTTCATTCATGTGACAGGGAACTAGGAATTGAAGCTGGTGTGACTGCAGCTACTTACCCTCCAGGGCCCTTGCATCCTCAYTTGGCCCACTACCACGCACCTCCTCGACTGCATCACTTGCAAATAGGGGCTCTTCCTCTAATGGTAAGGAGATAGTTTATGAAAAATTATGCTCATTCATCATTGTGATTTTGTTTGTCAGGAAAATTGCATATATATATATATATATATATATATATACACTGCTGCAAAGTGCTTCAGCTGAGGAATATATTCCATTGTGTCTGTCATACTCCCAGCGAGGAAGCTTGAATAGGCTCTTTGTATAGTAAGGGCAAACAGTATAGGATATCTCCATTTCTAATTTCAGCCCTTGTAAAACAAAACATTGAATTAAATTGTCACTTGCATTGCAATGCATTGACCCTCTGCATCTGATTTTTAAAGTTCAGATTAATCTTTGTTGAGTTTTGGGTTGTTAATGGTACCAACTTTCCTCAAAATGCGTAAGAGTTAGCACTACTGCTTTCTTTTTAAGGTGTGTATACAGCACAACTAGAATTCCATCTAGAGATGTGATAATTTTCAAATAATATTTTTTATTCATGAACCTAATTCTGTGTGATAAAGTATATAATTTTGTAGCATGAAATGTTATAACCTGCAGGAATTGTGAGGGTAAGCTAGTCCTCTGTTAAATGTATTTTTTTTAATCTACAGTAGAAAACCAAAACAAACCAGCGTATCTTTACTCTTGTTATAGAGTATTACTTTTGAAAGGTTTAGTCAAACGTTTTCTRATTTTGTTTAATAAAAATTCACAGAGAAACAAACTTAGTTTAATCTAGTATATTTAGTGTCTGTGTGGTCAAGCAATAATATTTAATCCTCTTAAAGCTAGTTAATTAATCAAAATTGTGAGTTCATCTGTAAATGAATGCTAAAATTAGAATTAAAAAAAAAAACCCTGCATATCTCAAAATTCCTCTGTCAGTAGCCTGAATTGACATCTGGGGCTTGAACTGTGAATTTACAACTGAACTCTAGTAACAGTCTYCAGTTGGGTCTTGCATTGCTTGTTCCTTGCTCTTTAACTACCAGATACGATAATCCTTAAGTTCTTCCCTGATATGAGGGTTGGTCGTTTGTGGGTGCTGCTTCCATSCTTAGCACAGACTTTCTAAAGCAGCCTGTAGAATGATTTTTTGGTATAGCCAGTGAGATGCTTATTGAACAACCTTCTGCTGTGCATCATCTATTCAAATTAAGTTTGTCTGCATTCTTCAGTTAAGTGTCTGCTTTTTCAGGTGGATGAAAGGTGGCTTTACTCTCTCACATCTTTTTCATGTGTTGTACTGTATTCAGTACCAGCAGATAGTATCAGGTGCTTCAGATGCCCAAAGAAAAAGGGTCTCCTAATTCCTGATAGTTCAGGGAACTGTAATTGTGTTAGGAGGCAACAAGTTAAACCTGTGCTTGTTTTAGCTCATTTTCTATCAGAGCTAATAAGTCATCTATGGCATTTATTTCAATTACCACTGTGAAGAAACTCAAGAGTTCAGATGATCCTCAATAGTACAGTGGGATGAGAAACTTTTAATTGTATTTTAATAGGGGRTATTACTACAGCTAAAATGTTATGTAAGCAAATAGTTGGGACCCCATTCTTCATTGTTTTAGCAATAGAAGAGAAGAAACCTATGACAGAGAATGTTCTGAAGTATTTCCTGAATGTATGATAAAATATTCTAGTTATTTCTGCCCTTCTGCTTGGTAACTGCTGTTTCTAATTGGTAAAAGTGACAAATGAAATAAGGATCTTTAACGCTACAGAAATTTGTGCAAGTGTTTGTGTAGGGATATTTAATCCTTATAACAGTAATTAATGAATGGCTGAGATGAAACTGAAGTCGTTTGTATTTTGAGGCTTTGCACACACTGCACTGACAGCATGTTTTGCTGTGAGCAGACTGCTGTAAACAGCACTTCCTCAGGTGTTTGGGATCTGGTTTAAACCTCACAGATGGAGTGTTACAACTTTGAAGTTGTGTAGAGTCTTTGACTAATTTTAAGTGTATTCAYACACTACAAGAACATGAAGACAGGTTACAGCACTGCTAGAAATTATATCTACAATGAGTTCAAAGCACTACAGATGCCTTTTGATGACTCTGCCCCTTCTATGGCAATAATGAAAGTTGCAGTTTTTGTTTGTGGGTAGGGAGAGTACAGCAGATCTGTCAGCGAAACTTTTCTTTGAATAGAGAGCAAGTAGTCAGTGAGGTTTTTCATCTAACAACTTGACTGGATATTAAACAAAAGGGCCATTTTAGGCAACAGATTAATTGCAGCTGCCACCTGTTATTTTTCTTTGTAACTAGGAATAGGGGTGGGGGAGGAGAGGCTGAACTGTGATTAGAGTCCCACTGCTAAGTCGYTGATGTTCTGAGGAGTGCTTTCTTCTTTAAGTACAAAGGGTACTAGACAGAAATTTCATGAGTGGTATTTTTTGGTGCAGTTATCAAAAACTGTTGCTGGTTTGTTTTTTTGGTTTTTTTTTTTTTTTGAGAGAGGATTGTCTTTTAAAGTAACTGATGCAGTCACACAACTAAGAATTTCATTAGTATTGAATCCACTTTCTGAAATGGCTTGCAGCGCAGTTGATTGTGCATTTTTTCTGTGGAGTACCCCTTCAAACWACCACCAGACTGTGAAGGACATAATGGATTATTTGGACTTTAATGACATTCACACTCTGTATCAGTTTTGGATTCTAATTGCAGATAACCAAATCTTCATCTAGGCAGTGCTGGAATGTAGGCTGCAGTTTTAATCCTCAGGGAGACAAAATTATGAAGTTATGTTGGGAAAATGATCAGTGTTCAGCAGCTTTGATAGTCCRAAGTGAGGGTTGGGGAAACAAAATMYTTTCTGCTAGTTTTGTTGAAGAGACTTCTRTCTATTTAACCTTGTTTCAGGAGGAGTATGAGATAGCACTTAGGAAGAGCCTTTTTTATCGATGTAGCCATGGGTCAGGTTGCTTCCCTCCTTCATTTAATGTAATTACTTTGAATGTGACCATGGCTTGGACTTTGTGTTCCCATTGTTACTGTTTTAAGGCTGTGTATGTGCTGAGGAAAGATCTATTGAATGAATTCCATTCTGGACAAATACCCATTCTGCTAACTGGTCAGTTTTAGGAAGACTCAAGTGAAGATCAGTGCCTGGCATAACTGATGAAACATTAGACAAGAAGGATGCAGGGGACWAAGGCTTTTTATCTGTTYCTCTGTTCTTCTTTGATACCAGTGKTAGTTGTTAGATGCCTCTTCAATTTCTGTTTACCCTGGGTTCCGTCTCTTCTGGCACTTGGGGTTCTGGCACCCTTACCACATCAGGGTGGGCAGGATGGCAGTTTCTGTAGTTTATGATGGAGTATGGTGTTTCAGACTCTTGACTCCTGCTTCTTCTGCCCTTCGGAATAGTGTGCTGTTGAATGTGAATTTTGGGGGTGAGGACTGGTGGGAGAACTATTTGGACTTTGTAGTTTGCTAGGTATCGTGTAATAAATCTCTCTAGAGTTGACGCAGACCTTGAGAAGATTTCTTAATTTATCTGTGAACCTGCAGCTTCTCAGTCTGAGGGACACAGGTACTGTTCCCCTTGGACACAGATACTGTTGGGTTTTATCTATGCAGCAGGTGGTACTTGTTCCTTCACAATGACTTTCTATGAAAACTGCAGCTTTCCCTTGTTTGAATTTGGCTTACTAAGACATTAATTGATGAGCTTTACTTCTTTTTGTGTGTTGATAGTAGCTGAGCAGTTAGCTTGCTGCATAGGTTTACAGTGGGGATTTGTTATAATACATATAAGGATCATACTTCATGAACCATGAGGGTTGGGGTGGACAAGTTAAGTGGTACCATACACGGGAGGGATCTCGCCACTGACTGGCAACTGAAAAGCAGAAAGATGCTGCAAGGATCAAGGATATTTAAAGGAGAGAGTAGCAAGGAAACAAGTCTTGCCTACAGGTTAGATGTTTCAAACTGCTGAGAATGTTTGTGTTGTAAATAGTTCACACAGCCTTGAATTTTTTAGTAGCTGCAAATTTTTGTGGTCATGGGAAGTGTCAATAGAAAGTGCAAAACAAGAAACAAAAGATACTTCTACAGTTCTTGGCAAACTTGTGATGGAATTTGCAGATCCAGAATATTTAATAGGTTTTTTAGTCTCCAATGGCAGAATTTGTTCCAAATAGTAGACCTRTCCGGGTGCATGTCACTGCAGTTGGTAAACTGACTGCTGAGGCAATTGGAACTGTAATTAAGAAATTACAGCATACTCCTGTGACTTTGCACCTCCTGTAAGGATGCAGGATCTGCACTATCAAATGCATTGGCTTCCGAAAGACTGATTTCAAATCCCAGTCAGTAAAAACAACAGGCATTGAAAATCACTTCTGAGACTTTGGTTAGTTTTTGTCAGGAGTTTCCATCCTCTCCATTGAGTCACAATGTAATAATAGGCAATAAAATTTTCCAAATTATGCTAGACAGGTCTATGCCTAGTAAAAACCTGGCATGAGAAATATGTTCATAGTGTGAGTGAATGACCTAGTTCTTTAAATGCATTTTGTGTAACTGGAAGCTGAAGTAGAATTACATGCTTAAATGCAGAATGAATCAGTGATTGTCTGAGACAGATTTCTTACAAATCAGCATCTTTTTAATCTGCTCCCCCAAAATTCCTTGGTTACAGCCACAGTTCATATTGTCAAATAGTAAGTCCTATGGCATCAACAAACATTACTTACRTGAATTGTTTTGATATGGACATGAATATGCGTCTTCAGTTTCTATTACTCTGGTTTGTTAAAATTTAAGACCAGTACTGTGGCTGTATTTGTGGCTGATGTTGGCACTATACTGTCATTTAACAAGCACCATGTAAATGCTTTAAAATAATCAGGTTTTTTGTTCTGATTAAAAAATATTTAGGGCAGAGAAATATTTTCTATCCCTGCCAGCGTTTAGTTACAAGACTGGGTTTGAAACCTGTAGAAAGGTAGGGGTCTGTTATTTGATGTGAGTAGCTTTGTCTAGGCCTCTGCTTTTCCACAATGTATTCATCGAGTTTTACACCTTTATATATGTGTTAGACTTCAAAGTGTCTGATGGAAAGAAGAAAAGCAACATGTGAATATCTGACTTCCTGAAAGGGATATCTGATTTGTGGGCAGCCTCATGAGATTAATTTTGAGCTGTCATATACAGTAGCAGAGACATTATCTGCTGGTAGCACAGACAGGAAGATAGTGCTCAAGTATTTCCTAATGAATTGCTGCTTACAGTCTTCCTATCTGTGTGCCGATCTCTTTGGATTTTTTTTTTCACCTATTCATTACAAATTGTCACGAGTATGTTTCCAACAAAAAATGGATACCATTATTCACTCATCTTGCTGGGGTAATAAAGGAATGCAGAAGCCCTGCTGTGGAGGTGGTCCCTGGKATACTAACTGTCCTTCAGCTTTGCTGGATGAAAAGTGCTGGTGCTTGAAGGGCCTGAGGGATACAGAATTGGACACTGGTCTTTTGTTCTGCTTGTATCTCTCATTGTCCAWGGAGGTTAGTGGATGCTTAAATACAGAGTGGATGTAGAGTTACCTGTAACTTTAGATGGGAGTTTTGAATGTTAATTTTTATCTGCCTCTAAATTTGAAGTGTCTGAAGATGTTTGGTTGTTTTGGTCACATAAGAATATTGACTACTTTTTCTAGACTGAGTTTTTTAGCCTTGTTTCTTCTGTAGGACCAAAAGCTTACATTTGAGAMTCTATAGCAAGTCCTTTTCTATAACTTCATGTGTAGCTGTTAGGTGTTCTGTTTACAAAAAAAGGTAGATATTTATGGTGGTTTATACAAGGTAGGTTGAGATTTTGAGACTTGGGAATTGTAATGCAGCTGTGGAGAGATGACAGGAGAAGATCTAGTCTCACTTCTGTTGTGCTTCTGGTTATGTTTAGATGTGTCAGAGTGGTGTTTGTGTTGTGCTGTCAGTTGGAATTGTATGCTCAGGCTGAGGAGTATAAATTAATAAGTGATTTGATGAAAGCAAAAGGAACTTAAATTTTTCAAAGTGAACAGTAAAATACTGAAACTGTTCTGAATAGGTTTAATTTAACGTCTGCTGTTTGAATAGGTACCAGACATGGCGGGCTACCCTCACATCCGTTACATTTCATCGGGATTGGATGGAACATCATTCAGAGGCCCTTTCAGGGGCAATTTTGAGGTTTGTAATAGAATAAAACTAGATATATGTCAAAATGTGTCATGAGGGAATATGGGGAGGGTGTATGGTAGAGACAGTTCCACATATAGCTAGAAGAGAACCATAAAGAAAATACCCTTTGCTTACAGAATGCCCTCACCACTGTGGAGTGGGACAAAAGCATATTGAAAAGCTGGTCAGGAARAGGTGCCCTGGACAATGCAGGCTTAAGAGGCAATTAACTGACAGTACATCTTGCTGTGCCCACCACCCATTAGTAGGGCAGAGTAGTTACATGAGGTTCTGGTAGAAGGTACTGGTGTCTCTGAGTAACTGTGCCAGGATCCTCCAAGTGAGGCTGAAACTTGGCCATATTAACAGTGCTGTCCTCTGGTGTAGTGCAGGAAATGGAACGGAGTGAAGGGAAAAACCAGGAGAACATAAAAGGTATCAGATGCAGAGAGTTAATGACCTAGTCCACTGAAAACCTTTTCAGTGACATCTCATGGTTCTAATAAACTCATTGCTGGAGAAAAATAAATCAGTCATTGTATTTCAAYTTAAGCAAGTTTTTTTCTTCAAACCCTTTGTGACTGTTAGCAAATATTTACATAGTATGTTTTAATTATCTTTTCCTCATTAGACCCAAGTATGTGTGAACATACTGATAACCACTCCTAGCTGACGCTCATTTTTTTGTAGTAAAATAGTATTTCCCTCTAGCTAAGAAWACCAGACAGTGTTGTGTGGGTTTTTCTGCACAAGCCCATCATTTTTCCCACACAACATACTCTTTTTGGCTTTGCCTATATTTGAGTAAGTCAGGAAATAAGAGTTTGTCATTCTAAAAATGAAAATGGGTTAGAATAAAACTAACACTTCCTCAAGATAGTTGAAATAATAGTTTTTACACTGTKTGTTCCTTCATGATTTTTAGGAGCTGATTCACTTGGAAGAACGACTAGGCAATGTTAATCGTGGAGCAACACAGGGAACTATAGAAAGATGCACATATCCACATAAATACAAAAAGGTGAGGATTTCTCAAATTGTGGGATATCTGTAATATTTCCTTAAACATGTGATGTTTATGGTTAGCTTGGACCTGCAGAAATGCAASCTTCAAAGAGAGCATGTTTTCCATATCCTGAAATTTCAAGGATTGTAAACAAAGCTCACAATGCCATTTGTTTCACAAAGAAAACTTAAAATTAGTTCCTTAGATAAAGAGCTACTGTGAAGTGATAAGCAAAAGTGGTTTGATATGATTAACTTGTCCAGTAGYTCTGAATAGCCTTGTGAGTACTGAAATAACTGCTGGTAACAGCAAAATTGTCAACAGACTTCAGTGAGAGCTCATAAACTAAGACCTTATGTTGGCACTAAACAGTTCATGATGCTTTTATATATCAATTTAACCTTTACTTTGAACACATGGGAAGACTGGTACAGTTTTGATAACTGAGGTTATTTCTCAGTTGGAGTTTAGTCTATGATAATATAGAATCCCATCTACATTGTCATACTGTTCTTTCACACTTGATAAATGGTGACAAGACACTAGGTTGAAAGGATTTTTTTTGCCTCTGGATGAATGAAATTAAGATATTTAAACATATATAATAAGTAAAAGGACTGGTTGCAGTATTGTGAAATTAATATGTTCACAGTCCAATAGACTTTTGTAGTTAACAGTAGTTAAGTCTGAAATGTCCTGAATTTTGCTCCAGGTGCTGGTTTTTGATTCATTTTGGTTCAAATACATTWGAATAAATATTACAGAATGTTTTGAAAAAATATGTGTTGAATATGTATAAAAAACAGATTTTACTCAGTTTGTCAATAATGTCATCTCTACTAATAAGGTAACAACTGATTGGTTCTCACAGAGGAAACTGCACTGCAAACAAGATGGGGAGGAAGGAACAGAAGAAGACACAGAGGAAAAGTGCACCATCTGTTTGTCTATATTGGAGGAAGGTGAAGATGTCAGGTAAATAACATTGAATATCAGAATATTATGCTCATGTTCTGCTTTGATGTCTTACCTGAATCTGGTGCATTGCTTTAATAGTTAAAATTAACTGCTATCTGTCATTGAACTAATACAGTTCAACAAATTGCAGTTGAAAATACACATTGTTCAGTCTGTATTGTCTTTAGATAGAATGTGGGTTATTTTATTAYGATCTTCCATAGTTTGACTGCCTGTATTATAACACGAACCCAAGATGATGCCCTGAATTAATCAGGATTGTCAGTTTAGTTTTTCTGGAGTAATGCTATTTAAACTGCARTAGGTTTAAATCAGCTTCATACAGCAAAAGTCAGTTGATGCTTGACTCATTGCCCATATCCATTTGTTTTTAAAACTAGACAGAATGCAGGTTYAACTGGAAAGGCTATGAAACCTATACAGGGAAAACAGAAAGAACAGATGTCAGTAGCAAAGCCCACACTGTGTTTTTTCCAGCAGGTTWGTCGATATGGAAATGCATTATTAACATTCATGTTTTTCTGTTCCAATGACAGGCGCCTTCCCTGTATGCACCTTTTCCACCAAGTATGTGTAGATCAGTGGTTGATTACTAACAAGAAGTGCCCCATTTGCAGAGTGGACATTGAGGCTCAGCTGCCCAGTGAAAGTTGACATTGCTTTCCAGAACTCTTGTCCTCCCTCTCGCTCCCTCTCATCCTTCCTGGTACTGCAGTCAACCAAAGATGGCATGACTTACCTGCGCAGATTTGGAAGCATTGAACCCAGAGTGCTGGCTCTGCTATATGGTACAACTAATGCTAGACCTACAGTTTATGTAGAAGACAGTTGAGTTTCAGTGTATTTATAAATTTTTAATTTTTTTTAGGTTTATAATTTTTTTCTTTAAATTCATTACTGTATTTTTGCATGGTTCCTTGTATTGCATTTGTTTGCACATATTATGGGCTTTGTGATCCCAGACTTGCAGGCGAGATTAGCTGCTTTAGTAAGTAGAATTGTGTGGTCTCTTTTTTGGTTTGTTTTATGTAGTACCAAGCTTTGAAAGTATGATTTCACTCATTAATAACCTCGGATTCCTTAATTTAATCGATCATATATATTTTAGTTTAAATGTATAAAGATCATCTAGAAAAGGATAATATTATGTATTGAGACATTCCTTAATTAGGAAAAAATGGCTGCTGTATATTTACAAGATCAGTTATGAGTCAAATAACATCCTTAATACTGGGAACAGAATATGAACAATACTCAGTTTGACTGATACATATAGCATATTCATCACCAGAGTTTTGGTCTGATCAGATTTTTGTGTTTGTTTTTTAAAATTTCAGCACAATGCAGATATATTTGAATGTCAATATTAAACATTTAGACTGCTGTTCAGATTGTATTTATCATTTTCTTCTATGTCTAGAAATTTGAATCCCTAACTTAAATATATGCTGCTGTGAAACAGCTCTTAGTGAACACTAAATGTTGATTTCAGTTAGCTGGATTGTAGATACTTGCAGATTGAAAGAATTATTAGGGACATGGAAAAAGAGCTTAGAATCTGTTTGGTCTTCTGCTAACTTAAGTTGAAGTATCTGCGCACACTGAGTGTTGGGGTTTTTTTTTTTGGCTGTGTTTTTTTTGTTTATTTGTTTGTTTGGGTTTTGTTGTTTGTGGTTTTTTTAATATAAAACCGTTCAATAAGGACTTAAAGCTGCAGGGTTTTTGTTTGGGTTTATATACATGAATTCATAGAATTTCTAAGGATTCCAGGCTTGTCTTGGGATTTTTATTAGATTCAAAGTTAATAAAGTTAGCTAAATCCACTTGTCTCTTGTTTTTATTTTCCATTAGTAAGTTGAAAGCCTGTAAATTCCTGTGGAAACTGAGACACAAATTATGTGTTTACCTAGTTTTTGCCTTGATCATAGATTCCCTCTTTATAAATTACCAACAGTCCATCACTGATTGAAATATTTTCTATAGTTAAGATTTGCTGCATAATATAGTATATAGAATTAAGTTATAATGTACTAACATTTTGCCTTTGAAGGAGGTTTTAATCCATGTCAGGATTCAAGTTGCTCATYAACATTCTTTCACATATAATAGATTATAGTTTATTTAAATGTGCTCAACATTGCAAAATGCAAATGTGCAAAACCATTGAGACAGTATTACTGTCACTTTGGAAAAGATGTTCCTTGGGGATCATATATGAACATGTCAATTAGCTTGCATTAAGCCACCTGCTTTGTAAGTGGATTGAATAATAAATACCTTCAGTTTCTCRTCTGTGTCTTTCATGATCAGATTACATGTAAAATGGTTTACAGTAAACCTAGAAGATAAACTGTTATGTTTACACATAAAAATCCATTTATAAATATTACATTATCTAATTTGATGCCTGTTTCTGTGTGGTTAAAGCTGCTTCCCTTTTATTTTGTTTTTTTTTATCTGTTAGTAGTAGCATTTGCGAGTACAGTGTCTATTGCTGGCAACAAACTTAACACCTCTGGCACTGAGGCTTTAAACAGAGAGAAATTTTATTCCAGCATGTGTGATAAATGGACCTTTTCAAGCTTAATTGCATTGCTAAAACTGAGCTTAAAAACCACTTTGCGGTTGTACAATGGGGGATATGGGAGAGAGGCAACACATGATTGGACTGCTTCAAACCCTGACTTGGGTTTGTGATAAARCTTCTTGAACATTTTGGCTGTAGGAAACTGAAAGTAACTGCAAAGTTGAAGCTAAAAATGAATAAAAGTAACTGGAAGGACTGAACAGACTCTGTGCTTTCCAGTGACTGTTGAAGGGAAGTTAACTGACCACTAATGCTTGAAGACTGATACTCACTTCTAAAAGCTTCCAAGAAGGTACTTGAGAGATAGGGAACAAAAAACCCGGGGCCTCTGAAATAATTGACACCCTGGGTATGTGATAGAATCTATTTTGGATCCCTTACAGGACAAAGCACAGGTTTGGGGGATTTTTTATTTTAGGAAATATTTTTGGGTCTGATTTGAGTGCCTGGTACTAGAGGTATTTTAGTGATCCMTGAATTGATTTGTTATATAATAGCTACTGATACTGTCTTGCTTTTAAATGTATGCATAACATTGTAATGTGATGCTGAACACTTAGGTATTTGCCAGGAATCAGTGTTCTGATGTTAATGCTATTGCAGGGGCTAAAAAGCTGCAGCTTACTTCTGTTCCAGAAGGTTGTAACTTAACCATAGTTTAAGGGAAGGAGAAAGAATAGGCTTTTCATTTTGAAAATTCCCACCACTTAACTGTGCTTTATATGCTTAGATGCATTGCCTTAAGTTTTCTGCAGCATCTTTGAAGATAAGAATCTCAACAGTATGCATCAATTTACTTTTCATATAAAATTCCATTGTCAAAAGAAATCCTTTTGTATGCAATAAATAAAATGTTAGACTGGTATCATTCAAAATCTGTTTCTTTTGCGGTTTTTTCCCTTCCCTTGTTTTGCTCTTGAAATCTTGACCTGTAAAAATTCTTTCGCGTACATGTATTAATTACTGCAGATACTGCCTAAGAAAAGACTCTTAGGGAAAGATCTACACGTAGCTGAAGTTAATTATCCTGCTAAACTGAATCAGCTGGAGCCTTGGACTGGAGAAGAATTTTAAGTAGGCGTTTCTGTCAGTGTAAGCAATTACGGTAGCGTTGAAGTTCCAGAGTCTCGGGACTCGTTRTTAAACCTCCTCCTGCTTCTCCGTGTGCCTCCCGGCAGCTGGGAGCGCCCGTAACTGCCCTGCCCGAGCCGCCGGGCGTTGCTGCCGGTGSATTTGGGGTTAAACTTTCCCGATCCGTGAGGGCGGGCCTTGCCRCCACCGGAAGCGGCTCGAGCCATTTCCTTTTGGGGCGGGGCCTGTGAGACGGACCAATCGGACGCGTGCATCGTATGAAGTTGTCCAATAGTAGAGCAGGACGGGGTTTAAAGGGAGCGGCGGCAGCGTGCAGGAACCGCCGTCGGTTTGGTTTCGGAGGGAGAGGTTGTGTGCGGAGCTGCGCTAGCGGCTCCACTCGTGTCCGTGCCATGGCCCTGCCGGTGACGCGCCGCGCCCCTGTGAGTATCGCCAGGAGCGGCGGGCGGGCCGGGAGGGGACAAAAAGAACAGCCGGGGGGACGGGAGAGGGGAGAGAAGGGGCCGCCGGCGGCCGAGGGGCTTTGCGCTCTTTACTCTTAGGCGGCGTGGGGGCCGCGGCCTGAGCGAGCTGGCGGGCGGGGGTCGGTGTGGGGGGCCGCTCTCAGACCTGCCGGGGAGCCCCGGTACATCGCCGGGTGCGGCCGCGACCGGACCGAGCTGTGGCCAGCGGTGCGAGGGGGCCCCTCCATGGGCAGCGCGGGCGCTGCTCCCGGCCCGGCCTGGCTTTGGCCGCCCGCAGCTCCCCCGCGGAACGGGGAGGGGATGGGGAGTGGGAAAGATACAGGGACTTGAGGGGGAGGTGTAGGAAGGAACTACAGGAACTTCGCTTCTGTGGTGATTGTCCATTGCTTTAAACTGAACTCWGCGAAAAACCTCCAACCCGGTGATTCTTTGCTGTGCATAACGAAGGATAATAACTTTTGCGTGTGTAGAATAGCTCTTTAATTTATATGGTTTATATGTAACAAGGAACTTGCTTTGTGCATCCTCGGGGGGGCGCTGCTAGTTACAAAGTGTGCAAGTGTAGAATTAAATAGCAGGTGAACTCTGACGTTAGAAAGTGTGAGAGAGGGTGCGGTAATTTTACAACGCCGTTCAGAAAGTACACTGCTCTGAACCTGTAGAGGAGACTTCATCCTCTGAACTTATGTTACTGGCTGGGAAATAAAAGCTGGTTATGTTTAGCAGGCACGGAGGTGCAGTGGTGATAAGTGTGTAATGGAGTCAGGCGTTGGAATGTCGTTGGTCTCTGATTCCTAAACTTTTGTAATTTTTTCATTTTAGATCACTAGAGGGATGGAGAATGCTGTGACTGACCTTAGAGGTAAAGCGAAAACAAACGTGATTGGCAAAAGGGCTGCTTTAGAAGAAATAGGAAATAAAGTTGCAACAAGAGGAACGCACATATCTAAGGTAAAGGAACATTTCAAGTCTTTACATAGGGAGAAGATGGATTGCTAGCTCTTTACTAATAGTTACTGTTTKCACTACAGAAAACAGAATGCCCCAAAGCATCCATAAAGCATGTGAAAGGACCTAGCAAGACGACAAATGGAATTGTACTGCCTAAAGCTCCAGCTGCTGTGAATCAAGCAATCAAAGAAACTGATGTACCAAAGGTAGGAAGTGATGATACTGTTCTGATTTTTAATATGTTTTGAAACTTGGAGCTCTGCYTTCACAACAGTTCATCTGTAGCTGTATCTCATTCCTCTGCTGAAAAAGCAAAGCCTCTGTACTGAGGTTTTGGTTTAATGCATGTTTTACTTAAGGCTGGTATTCAAGTGGCAGTAGTAGCTCTTCTGGAGTAGTATCTGCTTTAGCTGGCTATTAGAAGATCTTGGGATTCTGTGTTTGTGCTATCTTGGTGAAAACCTGCTGCACTGGAGCTCAAGCTCAGTTCCATCTAAAGAAATTGTATTAGTGACTGGTGAAATGTGGAAACAAAGGAACTTTGACGCTTAAAACAGTAGATACATGAAATGTATTGATATGATCTGTTCCTTAGGTTCTGTCTCCAGTCCCTATGGATGTCTCAATGCAAGAGGAGGATTTGTGCCAAGCCTTCTCTGATGTGTTGCTCAACAATGTTGAAGACATTGATGCCGAGGACTGGGAGAACCCCCAGCTGTGYAGTGACTACGTGAAAGACATCTACCTGTACCTGAGGGAGCTCGAGGTAGGATGCTCCAGGGCTGCCCTGGTGTCTGGGGGGTTGCCTGGCTGCTGACACTGCTCTCCCCACAGCTGCAGCAGTCMGTGCGCCCGCACTACCTGGACGGGAGGGTGACCAACGGGCGAATGCGCGCCATTCTGGTGGATTGGCTSGTCCAGGTGCACTCGAGATTCCACCTCCTGCAGGAGACACTCTACATGTGTGTGGCCATCATTGATCGCTTCTTACAGGTAAGAAATCCTTCAAWTCGTGCTCAGTAATTAATAAGTTACTATGTTTTTAAAAGAGTGTAGGTTTTAACTTTTCTTTAGAAATTTAACAACCTACAAAATCTGTTGTGCAAGAGCTTTTACAGTGCAGCATCTTATCTGTGAGGCTGCTGCCTTCTTTGAGCATTTCATTATACAGAGTGACTAGAATGACTTTGACTAGACTGAAAAACCTCATTTATAAAATGTTGGTATTCTAAACTGATAAATATGAATCCCTTTATCTAGAGTTTGACGCTTTGGGGCCTGCTTTTTAAATTCCTTGTTGCAGAGTCATCCAGTACCTCGCAAGAAGCTTCAGCTGGTGGGTGTAACAGCACTACTTGTAGCTTCAAAATATGAAGAGATATTGTCTCCAGATGTAGCAGACTTTGTTTACATTACTGACAATGCCTACACTAGTAATGAAATTAGAGAAATGGAAATTATTATTCTTAAAGAATTGAACTTCGATCTCGGGCGACCTCTTCCAATCCACTTCTTGAGAAGAGCATCAAAAGCTGGGGAGGTGGGTACTTGTCCTCATTATCTGGTACTTTCCTGTAAGTGTATCAGGATTGCTTCTGGCACTTTTATCATGTGATTTTACCTTCTTCTGCTTAAATTCTGGGTGAAGAAATAGTCAGCTCTGAAACTCCACCATGTGGAGTAACACGGTAATGTCACTGGTAGCAAGTAGCAGTTCACATTTGTGTTTACTGAGACCTGTGTTCAGCCTTAGTGGCAGTAATTTTACTGTAAACTAAGAAATGGTGCTTTTAATCTTTTTAATCCTGGTCATCAGGTTACTTAACAGTATAGTATATGCTAATAATATATATAATATATACTAATATATACTATACCATTATACATTATAATATATTGTATTATAATAGGTCRTAATATATCATTATATATATTATATGTTAATATATAATTTTAAATATAWATATACTTAAAAAATACTAGCAGTGTTGCAGTTATTTGTAATTTATGGTTTTACACCTCCCCTGGCTTAGTTTGTATTTCAGAGGGAGCACTTGTGTCCCTAGTTTTAGTTTGTATTTCAGAGGGAGCACTTGTGTCCCTAGTTGGGTACAGCAGTACCAGATAGTGCAGTTCTCTGTTAAAATCCCTCACTTGACTTTGTGTCCAAATTCCAAATGGCTGCTAGTCTAGATTGATTTAGGCTCTGGTCTTGATTTTGAGAGGAATGTCTGTTAGAAAGGATGGTCCCTAAACTGTAGTAAAGATTTTGCTATTTTTGTTTTGTTCTTGAACACAATAACCAATTCTGAATGATTATGCTAAAGTGAAGTGMAACTTTGTGTATTAACATCTTAACCTGCTAGGCCGATGCTAAGCAACATACTCTAGCAAAATATCTGATGGAGCTGACACTGATAGACTACGACATGGTTCACCATCGTCCCTCAGAGATTGCAGCTGCTGCATTATGCTTGTCTCAAAAGATTCTGGGACATAATAAATGGGTGAGTATTTTAGTCAAACYTTTGAGGTGTTTTTTTCTTCAGTTAATGGAATTTAACCAATAAAACAAGGCTTTAGAAAACTGTTTAGATTGGTAAGAGTGCTGGTGCTGAAGTAAGAGTTGGACAGTCTGTGGCATAGTGGCAGGTAGAAAAAGGGATGTACCACTAAAAGCTTATGATCTTTTTCTATGAACACTGTGGTACAAAGGATTTTTTCTTGAAAGCATAAGTTGCAGAAGGCTACACCTGCTAAAGGTACATTTTCAGAGTTCTTGCAGTACATGTAGCATAACAAAGTTGTGGACCATGAATAAATTTAATTCAGCTGTAGTTGTTTTTCTTATCCTCTGTTGTGTCTAGAACTATGGTCCTTGAAACTGATGTGTCCAGACTTCTGCACATCAGRTTACTCTGGCTCTGTCATTTAAACTGACAGCTGCAGTTTCCAGCACTTAAGGCTCAATGATGAAACTCAGGGTGTTTGCTGCCTGAAGTGATTGTGCCTTGAGCAGCAATTCCCCCTGAACAAATYTCAAGTTTCTTACTTTCTGCTGCAGGGTACAAAGCAGCAGTACTATACTGGCTATGCAGAAGACAGTCTTGTGACRACTATGAAACATATGGCCAAGAATGTGGTCAAAGTAAATGAGAAGTTAACGAAATACATTGTAAGTATAACTGCTTAAATCCTCTAATGTTTTTAAAATGGCTTTGCTGCATCTTGTGCCTCCTTAGGTAAATGCTCTATATGTTATCTTAAAGCGTAYGCTCTTCTGACAAGCCTGTAAGAGGCTGTTGCATTAAGTGGTGACACCAAAACCTTTTAGCTAAATTGTGCTCTTGCTACTTTGTGAACTGGTACACTGCC